TTCTGGGTGCTCAGGTGAGCTGCTGTTGACGCGGTTGAGCTCCCGGTTCGCCCCGGGCCAGCTTCCAGGAGGCATGTGGGTTTGGCGCGCCTTCCCTGCCCGGCGTCCGCAGAGCAGCGCAGGTCAGCGCCCTGTTCGTTCCTCTTCAGGCCCGTCTGTGGTCAGCTCTGCCGCAGCTCCGGCTGGCCAGTAACTCCGTGAACTTGGGGGGTCATCACCGAGACCCCGCCTCATGACTGTCTCCTTCCAGCCAACCCCAGGGTCCTTACCGCGGGCGGGGACACAAGCCGGCGTGGAGCGGGACGGCGGCCGCGGTGGCCAGCTGGGCCCACCCTGTGTCGCAGACGGGTCTTGCTGCGGGGCCTTGCGGCAGGGGCTGGCGCTCCCGGGAGCTGTCTGATCGCAGCCCGGCGCCTCTGCCCTGCCCTGCCTTGGTGTTGGGGAGCGAGGGTCCGGCCTTCGGTGAGCCCCCGGTGGCCTTGCCCTGCCCCCGAGCCCCGAGCCCGGGCACTGGGACGGCTCCTGGCCCGAGGGCCACCTTCTCCCCACCCACCCCGTGGACCGCTTCCCGGCCTCGCAGAATCCGACTTCACGTCTTTGAGAAAATGCTTCGTCCTTGCCAGAGCGATCGCCTGTGCATGGCCGGGGCCTCCGCGTCTCCCGGGGCACCCCGTCCTGGCCTCCCTGCCAAGCTACAAAGTGCCCCCCGCCCACGCCCCCCCGCCGCTCCGCTTAAAGGGCTATTTTCGATGCCGACAATCTGAGGCTGGGCGTGCAATCTGTCACTCCTCGTGCTGCGAGGGGCCCGGGGAGCGGAATTCCTGGGGCGGTTTTTGTTCAGTGTAGATCTAGGTCACACTCCCAGCCGGGCTTCCGGGGCGCGTCAGCTTCAACACGGTCCACGTGGGCACGTGTCCCCTGGACAAGCCGGAGCCTCCGGGGCGTTCCGTGCGAGCACCAGGTTCTCCCGCGAGAAGGCAGCCTGGGGCCACCCGGCCGGGCGGGTCCTGCCGCGGCGTGGGGGTGCTGCTAGCGCGTCAGCAGGAGGGGCTGGCCCTCCTGCACTGCCTGGACCCGGCACCCCAGGCGTGATGGCGCAGCAGGGCACCTGGGCGCGGCGGGGCTTCGGGCGTCCCGGCCTAGAGCAGGGTGTGCGGCCTGCCCCTCCCCGTCACCCCACGGCTACGGAGTACCTTCCGCGCCAGACTGCAGGCCGGAGCTGGCCTGGCCCTGCAGTGTGCTGGGCAAACGCTGTTCCAAGCGGGTCTTACCAGTGCAGAGGCCCGGGGGAGTGAGGGTCAGGAACGTGGGTAACTGAGGCTTTTCTGCCTCCCGCACAGCCCCTACGGCTGCCACCTGCAGCTTTGTCTCCCCGCAGGTTCATCACCTGCATGTGCTGCGGCGCTTGAGGGCGGAGCCCAGGGCCCTGGGCCAGTGATTCCTGGGTGAGGGAACACAGTGCAGAGATGGGGGACTCGGAGGGCCTCCCACCTGCCCGTGCCCTGCTTCAGCATTAAAGGCCTGTCCGACCCCCCCGAGCCCCCCCTCCGGCTCCAAGATTCTTTTCTGCTTGCTCAGGCCGGCCATGAGCCTGCGGGCCTGGGCCCACCAGCCTCAGCCGTGCCAGCGGAGGGAGGCGGCACCCGACGGGCGCTGGGGAAGGCGCCGTCGTAGCCCTGGGGAGGGAGGGCGGCCTGGTAGCCAGGAGATGGCAGTGGCCACCGAGCTGGGCTGGCCAGCGAGCCAGTGACACAAACCGACCATTCTGTTCTTGCCTTTGGGAAGCTTCTCTACGGCTAAGGAGACAGACACGGGCGCAGCTTGCTCTTGCCTGGACTGCAGGGTCCAAGCACTCATCCGTGCCCCAAGGGAGGGGGGCCAGAACGGTCCGGGGAGCCGTGGCGAGGCCCAGGGGCCCTGTCTGTGCCCATCCACTCAGAGCCCTCCTCCCTTGGGGCCTGTCTGCACCCCTGTGGCTCCCCAAAGGGCCACGGCTGCCCCGCTGGCCCTCAGTACCAGCGCCACGGTCCCGCTGTCTGCGTCGGGAGGGCGGGCAGCGCCCCCCAGGGCCCCATGAAGCCCCGTGCTGCGGGCACCTGGCACCCCAGTTGTTTCCCGGCAAACAAGTTGTGGCCCCCGCAGGCCGTCAGGTGCCTCACCTGAGAGCGTCAGGCTGTAAATGACAGAAAGCTCAACGGCCTGAAGGCAGAAAAGAAGCAAACACAGCTTGTGTCACTGAAAAGCCCAGGGGCGCTGACCTTGTCAGAAAGCAGGCCCTCCCCTCTGCTCAGCTGCCCCCTCCTCGGCGCAGGTCCTTCCGGGGCCAGCAGAGGCCATGCCTGGGTGGGACTGGGTGCGTGGTAGCATTGCCCCTTCCCAGCAGGAAACTGAGGCCAGGCCACACGAGCACCCAGGCCATGGCATGGCGAGGGGACCACGGGGCCTCGGCCAGGGACCCAGGAAGTGCCTGCTCCCCGCAGCCCCGCGCTCATGCCGCGGCCCTGGCGTTTACCCGTTGGGTGACCTTGGGACACTCACTCAACTTCTCTGGCCTCACCTTCCTCCCTTCCTCGTCTGCAGCCAGGCTGGGCGCGGCCCTGCGCCCACGTGGTGGCACCCCTAGCAGAGGCCTGGCCTGCGGCTCCTCCAAGCACTCCGCCTGCGGCTCGCTGCCAGCCAGCCTGCGGGGGCACAAGGCTGGGGGCCAACATGGACGTCCAGGGCAGGAACTTTAGTTAACGTGGGGATTCCTTAGCAGAGCTGCAGTGAGGAAGAGTTTGGTAATAGGGTGGTGGTGGTGGTGGTGGTGGTGAGGCTGGTGTGATGACCTTGAGGTGAGGATGGGTCCCTCAGGACCCCTTCTCTTCCCCGTCCCTGAGCAGAAGGGGGACTGTCCAGAAGCTGGAGGACACGCAGTGGCCAGAGACACTGTCCCTTTTAAAGGTCGCGCTTCTCCTAGGAGGGGAGCTGACCTCGTGTGATGTCCTTCCTGGCCAGCTGAGCGCATGTGCTCCGTCCTCTTCCCTCCCGAGATGCTCGCTGGCCTCCAAGCCCCATGGCCCGGCGCGCTGGCGGGGAGACCGGCCTGAGCGGTCCCTCTCTGCACTGGGACGTTGCTCGGGGCGCACACGCAGGTGTGCACGCGCACTCTCTTCTCTCCGCGCCTGGGACCTGCCGGACCGTGACGGCGGCCAGGTGCTGGCATCCACCGGCTCTCGCGCCCAGCGGTTCCCCAGACAACCGTGCAGCGCTGCCAGGTGGGGCTGAAGCAACAGGCAATTAGGAGTAATCAGGACAATTAGCAGCGAGTCCCTGGGGTCGCCTGTGGCTTCGGGAGCTACTCCGCCTAACCCCGCAAGGAGGCTCAGTTCCCCCCGCCTCTCCAGGCCTGGCACGAGGACCGGCTGGGCCCGTGTGCACCCTACCCGGTGGTCTGACTGCGGGGCGCTCCACCAGCCCTCAGAAGCCCAGCCTCCAGGGGCCCTGCCCTGCCCCCCCTCCACCGGGATCTGGGCCCTGCAAGCTGAGCCCAGCCCCGCCGTGAGGCCCCGTGCCGAGGCCCGGGCCAGCCCAGCTGGGCCTGGTAGACCGTGATGCGCACGCTGTGAAGGCGTGGCTGCGGGGCGGAGGAAACACCTGCGCGCCGTGTGGACGCCGGACAGAGCGGCTGGGCTGGAGCAGCCGCCCCGAGGGCACTGGGCGCCCAGCCTGCGCCTTCTTGCACCAGCTCCGCGGCATGGCTGGGTGCGGGGCCTTGCGTTGGGTGAGTGTCTTCCGGAGGCTGCACTCCGTGGGGGCAGGGCGGGGGGCGAGACCAGAGAAGTGAGGCGTTCCTGAGCCGAGGCCAGCGGGGCCCGGACCCTCGGGGCCCAGGCGCGCAGCCTGCTGGTGAGGAGCCCTCGCCCGGCCCCAAGCGTCAGTGAGGAGGAAGGCGGTGACGTCCCGAGCAGAGGCGCGTGGCCGACTCGGAGGATGCCAGGTCCAGAGGGGTTTGAAGGGCAGCGTGGGGTGGAGCAGAGAGCAGAGGGGCGGGCGCTCCCGGCTGGATGTGCGGCGCCGAGGAGCCTGCAGGTGCTCCAGCCTCCCAGGGGTCCCTGCAGCCAAGGAAGGGGCCGAGAGAGCGCCCAGAGCAGCCACCGCCTGGGGGGGGGGTGGGCATCTCCTCTTGCTGGACCTAGGGGGCAGCGGGGAGGGTGCAGAGGCGGGGGAGGCAGTGATGGCCGCGGGGACAAATCCCAGAGAGGGGTGTGACGTGGCTCGGCCGGGCGCGGTTGCCGGCTTGGATGCCCGCCGCGCCCCAGGACGCCAGGGCCTGCCCCGGGGCCGGGGTAGGGGACACTTGCCCTGGGGGTGCTTTGGCCAGCCCCTCCCCCAGCCGCCGCGCGTGTCTGGAATTTCGTGTCCACCGTGGAGCCTGGGGTGGGGAGGCAGGCAGCGGGGCTGCAGCACGCGGACGGGGTCTGAGCCGTTTCTCTGGCTTTTCCGGGCGAGGCAGGAGGGCGTACCCTGGGCAGGGCTGGCCAGGCGGGAGCCGCTCAGGGCTGTGGTGTGGCGGGCTTCCTCCGGCCCGCGCGCCTGCTGACCCTGATCACCCCTTCGCGCCACTCCCCAGGGTCCGGTCTCCATCTGAGCGAGGGGCTTAGTCGGGGACGTTGGTTGCGCTTGTGCGCAGGACAGAAAATAGCGACACCCGGACACCCCCGCGAGGCCGCCCCGCGGGGCCCCCGGTGTGCTCGGGCACAGTTCCGGGCGCGGCCCAGGGCGCGGCCACCCCGCTGGGGCTCGGACGTCCCCCTTGCAGGCTGCTCCTCCCGCCTCCCCTGCCCGCCAGGGCCCTGCCCGCGGCGTCCGTTCCCGCCTTGTGAGAGGCCAGGCCCCAGAGGACGCCGCCCCCCTCCCTCCGGGGTCTCCCCCAGGAGCCGCGTCCTGTGCCGCAGACAGACGGCGGGTGGCGGGTGGGGGCGGGGGCGCGAGCTTTCAGCGTGTTCTCTCCCCTGCAGACACCCGCGTGGACCGCACCAAGAAGCTCTTCCGGCACTACACGGTGGGCTCCTACGACAGCTTCGATGCCGCCAGGTAGGTGGCTGGCGGGGGCAGGCCAGGCGCCGCCCCGCCTGGAGCTCCCTGCGGGGGGCCCCTGGGGCCAGGCCGGGCAAGTGTGAGTGTGCGCGGGGGCCGCGGGGGGCTGTCCGTCAGGGGAGGATGGGGCGTTGCCTGGGGCTACAGCACAGATGCTCGGGTGGCAGCTGCTGGCCCCAGGGCCCGCGAGGCAGCGCCAAGGTGGCGGCACCCACAACCCAGGAGGCCCCAGACCGCCGTCCCCTGGCTCACACCTCATCCGCTTGTCCGGAGTTCACTCCTGCCCGAGTCTGGGGTCTGCGCCCCGAGGCCGGCCCCAGGCATGAGGCTGAGCACCCTGGTTTGCTTCCCGCTCTGGTTGTGTGGGGGGGTGTTTCGTGGCTGTGATGGAGCAGACGGAGCACGGGCTTGAATGCCTGGCACCCCACGCCCACCGCCTCGCTGTGGACACCTCAGCAGCCTCAGGACCTCGAAGGTCTCAGGCTCCTTCCCCTTAGCTCCAGCGGCCGAGGCAGACGCGGAGGGCCCCGGGGAGCAGAGGCTCTGGGGCCTCTGGCACTGAGCGTGGCTCCCGGTCGCTGTGGCCACGTTGGTGTCTTAACTGTCCCCAAGCACGGAAGCCTCCGTCCCCTTGTTTCTGCCACGACTGGAGTCTGCACTCGGGGCCGGTGTGTGGAGAAGCGCCCTGGGGGCCACCCCAGAGCATGGGCTGGGCAAGGGAGGGCGCGGACGAGCCCAGAGCCCCCGGCTGACCGGGGGCAGTGCGGCCTGCTCCCGCGCTGGGCAGCTCTCGGGGGGCTCTTGAGACGCCCCAGCCCATCTCCTCCAGAGAAGGTCCTGGCTCAGGAAGGACCTGGACCCCTGCCGGGTGCCGCACCCCTGCCCCGCACCCCTGGGGCCTGTGATGAGCAGCTCCCCGGTCCCCCTGGGGTCCCTCGGCCTGGCTGGGGAGGGCGCCACCTTCATGCTTGTGCTTTTGAGAGTTAAAAATTCACGGGTACTGACCCCGCCTTTTGGGCCGGCCCCGGCACACTTGGCTCCTGTCCGCAGGAGCAGCAGTGAGCCAGCAGGGGGCGCTGGGGAGACCGCGGGCTCACAGGCCTTGGCACTGTCCCTGGAGGGCTTTGGGCAGAAGACAGGTTCTAACTCTGCTGACAGAGGTGGGGGCTGGCAAACAGACCCGCCGAGGCACCCGCGCCGTCCAGGGCAGGCGGCTGGAGGTCCAGGTGGGCGGAGGAGGGGGTGACAGCGAGGGCCAGGGTGCTGGGCGACGTCGGGAGGGACGGGGACCCGCCAAGGCCGGATGCGGGGATGAGGGGCGCAGGGGGTCTCTTGGGCTATACAGGGACAGAGGTGGGTGGGCCTCCCTGTGGGCACAGCGCCGCCACCAGCTGCACAGGGCCGGCCAGGGTGGGTCTCAGCCGCACCGGTTCCCTCCTCCGCACACTTAGGGGGCCTGTTCTCCCTGAGGGGTTGGATTAGAGGGTGGACAAGTGCACCTGTTTGCCAGCTGAATATCCACGCTGTCCACAGCACGCGTGTTTGTGGTGTCTGGAGTGCGGCGCCACGCTTACGTGTTTTTAAGTTGGTCATTGGAAACATACACGTGGCTACAAAATTCAGGGTCACGTGGCCAACACAAAGAGAGGGTCTCCTCCCGCCCCAGACCCCGCCACTGGCCTCCTGAGGGTCCTTCCGAGGTGGACCCCAAATAGGCTCATGGCAGGAAGTGTGCAGTGCAGCCCCTCAGCTCCTCTCAGATCCCCCACAAGCCCCGTTGGCCTCGGCAGCCGAGGCCCCTCTCTGCGCCCCATCCCAACCCCCCCAGCTCTGTTTGCAAAGTAGAGGTTCCCACATCCTGCTCCCACCACACCCCAGGGGCGCCCCTGTAAGGATGAATGAGGAAGTAGTGTCTGGTGCTGGCAGCTGGGGAGACCGCGGGCTGAGCACCCAGAGGAGCCTGGCCACAGAGGACAGCCCTCGTGCAGAATTGGCGAGAAACACCGATTGCCCCGTTCCTGCTCCACCATTATCTATTTTTTGTTTTTGCTATGCTTGAAAAACAGAGATCAACCCGTGAGTGCGCTCCCCGGCTGGGCCCCGGGAGAAGGGTCTGTGGGAGCCAGGAGACGGGGAGCGGGGCCAGGGCCTAGGTGGAGAGCAGTTCACCTCGGCTGCTTCTGGCCCCACGCGGATGTCGCAGCCCAAGGGAGCGTGCCCTGACCTGAACCTGTTATAGTTTCCCTCCAAACTGCTGTTCCCTGCGGTGTCCAGGCTGGTGGGCAGCACGCCAGGCCTAGCTGGTAGACGCGTGGCTTCCTCTCTTCCTACCTTCCCTGCCCCCCTCCCGCATTCGGTCCTTCACAGGGCCTGACGAGTCCCTCCCCCCCCCCTGCTGCTTCCCCAGGTTGCCCCTTCTTGCCCACGTTCCCTGTCCCCCCCAATCTGGCTGCTCCAGGGGACCCACCCCTCATTCTCTCAGGTTATTTTTTCCCTCCTTTCACAAATTTTGATGCAAGCCCTACATGCCCTTAATAAAGTCAGCTGTTAACGCTTGTCACCAAACCACACAGGCGGGGGCTGGGAATAGAAAGAGCTGTTGCCCACCCTCCCCCCTCACTGGACCACCCCAGTGGGAAGAACCACCTTGTCTTTGTCCATTCTTCTGGGGGTTATCTCCTCCCTACCTCTGCAGTGGCCTCCCCCATTTCTTAATGTATCAGCGCATGGCATCTTCGATTCTGTGCTGTACAAGATGAGCTTTTCATAGTCGTACGCGCCTCTGCCCCACCTCCAATTCTGAATCATTATTCCCGATCTGCTGATTATCCTTCAATAAGGTCCCCAAACTCCTCAGCCGTTTAATAAGTTTCAGATATTATCACTTAATCCTTTGTTGTGTTTATATCCACATTTCAGTTCTCTAGGATTCTGTCTGTATGTTGAATTCTAAAGTGAAAACCCAGTGGAAAGCATTCCATCACTGTGGGAAGGGAAATGTGTCTGTTCCACCTAGGATGGGGGTGGGACTCCGGTTCCTCATTATGGGCCCATGAGGAGGACTTTGTAATGTCACAGTGGTGGACTCCTTCTTCCTCTGCTCCGGCTCCTCAGCACTCTACCTCATTTTAGCTCAGTGTGAGGATTCTGGTCTTTGTAAGAAGTTTTTGTTTTTCCTGGAGTTTATGGTTGCTTTTTTTTTCCCTTAATGGGAGTGTTGTTATGTCTCCCTCAGCATGCCACTCAATACTGTCCTGTGTCTTCTGTCTTCACTAGACCCCACCCCTGCCTTTCAGTGCCCTCTGCTCCAGCGGGACCCCAGTCCCCAGTGCACACTAGCTGAGGTCCCCTCTTTGAGCTACAGGATAAGGGAGTGGGGTCTTTCCCCTTGTTCTGCTGGAACTCAAGTCCCAGCCTAAACCAGAGGCACCTGCAGTGTAAACTTCCATGTCTGAACAGTCTCTAGTTTTCAGAGTGCTCAGTAATGTCAAGTTCTAGGTCCCAAGTCAGTCTCCTTCTGAATGACAAGGGCTTGCTTGGTCGTGGCTGTGCCTCTCCCTGCTATAAGGTCTGCCAGGGTCCTGCTCCCGTATGAGTGGTCCTTTCCTTCCCCTCAAAACTCTGTGGGAACTCGTGGCTGCACCTCGACATTCTCAAGTGTTGTGATGAGGGTCTGGGTGTGGGTGTCCTCGCTGGCTGGCAGGCTCCTTCAGGCTGCTGCAGCTCAGCTCCAGGAAGGCGCTTTGTAACCCTCTGGAAATCTCTGCGTTCCTCTGTCTCAGTTCGGTCTTGCGGACCTGCTAGGGAACCACTTGAGTCCCTCCCACTTGACCCTTATTTTCTCTTCCATTTCCTGTCTGTGCTCTATTCTGGGGAGCCCCCTCAACGTCCACCCTGTTGATGCAACATCATACTTTGGCACTCAGCTCTGTCCAAGACCTCTTCCTCAGCCATGATCTGAGCTGAGCTGAGAGTGGCTTCCGGGTATCGCTGGGAACAAGGCAGGTACCTATGAATGGCAGATCCCTGACCGAGCTGACCGCATGCTCCCTCAGGTCAGACCCCGAAGGCGGGGAGCCCACAGGCAGTCCCTCACCCCACTCCCCACGCAAGAGCACACAGATAGGCTTTTGGGTGCATCTGCAGGAGAATTTCATTTCAAATTGGAAATGAGGGGCAGGTGTTCTGAAGTGAGAATGCACAGAGGACCAGGTGGTGGGAGAGTGAGGAGAGGGGCCGGAGGACTGTCGAGGCTGAGCGTGAAAGGGAAGGATGCTCTCTGGCCAGGGGCAGGAAGTGCTGTTCAAAGACCCAGAGCCTGGGCCTGACGGACCCATGTCCCCTCCGGACCTCGCCGCCTGCCAACCCCAGGCCGGATGGGCCACTTCCCGACCTGGTCTCCGCGGCTGCTGATTCTGCCTCTGTCCCAAGGCTTAGAGAGTCCGGTCCGTAGGTGACGGTGCAGGGAGCTGAGCACAGAGTGACCTCTCGCTACAGCCTGGGCAGGTGGGCGTCCGACTGCTGCTGCTGCCCGGGCCGCCATGAGTTCACAGCGAGCCCTGGCCTGGCCTCCACCTGCCCAGAGACCTCTGGCTCTCCGTTCCCAGGACTGCCAGGTGATCCCAGGCAGAGGCGAGGTTGGTTCTTCTGGCTCAGGGCTGCCCCGCGCAAGCATGGGGCGCCTCTGGCTTTTGGGGTGGAGCACCTGAGCCCGGCCAGCAGGGACACCCACGCTCTCGGAGGTTTTTGTTTCAGTCTTGCCGGTGGGAAAGGCAGGAGGCCCTGGCACCGTTCTCTGGACCCGGCGCCCCTGCCTGGGGGCGGAGCCGAGTCCCTCCCCGCCAGGGAGGCTCCTGGCTCAGCGCATCCTCAGACCACATTTAGTACATTCCCAGGTGGCGAGTGGGTGTGTGGGTGGGGAGCGCAGGCGGAAGGGCGGGGGAGCGGGTGAACCAGCAGAGAGGAGCTGGGAGGCTGGGACTCTGGGCACACCTCCA